TATAACTATTTAGTCCAGTCAAATGATCATAATACCTTGCGTCAGATGTGTCATCTCTATATATTTTTTTAAATTGTTTGGCTGACTATGGATGTCAAAAATCCAAGTTTTCGACATCCAAAGACCTGTGCGAACAACGCAGCACTCGAAAATACGCCATTTTTTCTATTATTTTTAGGTTTTGGTTAGTTTTAGTTCTGAAGGACAGATTTTAAAGCAATTACTAGACAAAATTTGTGACAATTGAAGCCCTTAACCGGCTCTCTAGCGTTTCAAAATTTTTCAGTTTTAATCAAATTTGCCTTTTTTTCGCATAAAAACCTCATGAACATTTTTATAATTTTGTTCCTTTGGGGAGACTTTGGGGTGAGGAGTCTCCATAAATCCGCACAGAAAGAGCTAGAATGTTGATATCCTCTGGATCCCCAGCATCTCCCATGATAAAAAAGTTGCCATCTTCTTCTTCTTCAGCAAGATCCACTACCTGTTGCATGGATTGAAAAATCTGTGAATTTCTTCCTTTTCCCTGACCTTGCTCGACCATTCAAAAGGGATACCGAATATAGAAGATCTGTGACAGTAGCAGAAAGCTTACTCACAACACTATGATTTGAATGATTAACGCATGATATCTAAACATGGATATTTTTACACTAAAAGACAAAATAGTATATTAAGATACAAGTGTATAATCAAGTCTTTAAAGCACGCGCAACGAGTTTAAGGGCACGACGCAAAGCGGAGTGCCTTACGTTGCAAGTGCTTTAAAGACCAATTATACACGTGTATCTTATAGTATTTTTTATTATACCTGCAGTATAATTTAAAAATAGGAAATACAATGAAATCAATTGTTGTAAAATCTAATCAAACGTTGGTAGGTGTAAAATCCAACTCCAGTAAAGCCTATTATAAAGAATATGAAAAGTTGTTTCCATGGATGAAAAGGAAGTTACTTACGAATAAAGTCTTAAATGCATCGATAATGCTGGGATATATGAAGGAAATGTCAAAGGTATTTAAATCTCCTATCTTTTGGTGCATTAACTCAAAACTTCAAACAATGCTGCGATTAAAAAGTGGAACAGATTTGGAAGCATACCCTAAATTACGCGCGTTTGTAAAAGCTTCAACCAAAGGATAGGTACAAGCCAAAGAAATGTTCTGCATTTACAGAAAGCGACTTAGGAAGATTTTTATTTCGCCCAAATCACAGTTTCAAAAGTCATACTTGAAGTATCGTTACTTAGCAACTTTAAAGCACGTGTGTTTTAAAGGCCTTTTTTCGCACGCATTTGAGTGTTTAAAACGGAGATTGTGATTCAGGTATAATAAAAATCAATATTTAATTTGCTTTCATTACCCGCAATTTTTAGCAGTTCTTCAACAAGTTTATTACATCGTGCATATTTTGTAAGTTTACTTTCTGCGAAGGAAAAACGCAAATTTTGATAAAACTTGTAAAACTAATAAATTTACCAATATTTGAAGCGCCGTATCTTGGAAACTATTAGACTTGCGGATATCGTTAAAGGCTTAAATTGTCAGGAATTTTGTCTAGTTCATAAAAGTATACAACAATAATTGCATTAAAATCGGTTCTTCAGGAGTAAAACTTACAAAAACGAAAAAATGGTAAGAAAAATGACATATTTTCAAGTGCTATGTCGCTCGCACAGGTCTTTCAATGTCGAAAACTTGGACTTTTCACATCCATATTGATCCTAACAATTTAAAAGAAAAATTAGAGATGACATATCTGATGCACGGAATGCCCATTTTTTTGTCTTATTTGACTGTACTAAGTATCCGTCCTCTTAATTCAAATAATTAATGCAAAAAGTCGCATAAATTTAATGAACGTATAGAAAACTAGTTGTCAGGTAAACTCCTGACTTGACTTTCCGACTACTTTTAATAGAGTCATTGCAATTATTATGTGGGGTCATAGTATAACATTTAGAAAATGCCCTCTAGCGCCTTTATTTTGAACCCGACGCAAAAAGTGTAGAAGTTTTTTTGTAGATCTCATCAAGACCCTTCTTTTTTGTAATTAAACTTTTCACTTTGATGATGTTTAAGTCATTTTGGCCAGTGTAAGTTAAAAAAAGAAAAAAAATTTTTTTCAAGCCGTTATGGATCTTTTATACTTATAACACCCTCAACAACCATGAAGATGATGAAGATGGTTACAGATCAAAACCAAAATAGGTCATTTTCGATTCCCCATACCGCCCTATATGCACCCCAAATTTGTCCAAATCTGTTCAGGGGTTTTTTAGTTACCGTGGTCACAAAAAACGAACCACGTACACACACACACACACCCTCACACCCTCTCAGACGTCAAGCTAAAAATCACTTTTTTTGAGTGCTTCAAAACGTCCAGAAAACGCAATATTGGCATATCGAAAATTTATCACAATTACAATACTTTCCTTTATACATACTTTGTATGTATATGCGCTCCGATTTGAACCAGGGTTGTCGCGATGTAAGCCAACGGTTATACCATCTGCGCCAATGGGACGTATGTTTCACGCATACTTATACCGATATAAGCGGTTCAAACTTAGACCATATAGTACAATTGTGGCCAAAGCGAGCCGCATGCGGCTCACTCACAAAAACAATTGGAACCCGCCATTGCTTTTCTATTAAATCCATTTGAAGTTGGTGTACCTAATTAACAAAAGTTTTCCACTTTCAAAAAACATATTAAAAGAATGAGAGCTCGTGGATCTGGAGTTTGTCTGATGAGACACGACTTGAGGCTGTCAATCTATAAATTAACAAACTTCCATTAATTAATTGCCCAGATATGGCAAAAAAAGCAAACCTATTCTTATTTGTGGACGTATAGAAGTAATCAAGATCAAGAGTATTTAAAGCTTCCCGTACCACGCGGTTACTATAAAAGCTACTCTTTACGCGATCCCGAGTGATGTTCATACGACTTTAGCTTACCCTGAGATTCACATACACATGACTACAGTGCCCTCTATCCGTGACCACCCATTTTGTATTGAAAGCATTGGGCTAATAGCAGTCCATGTACTATTATGGTCTAAGGGTTCAAAATAATCTTGACAACTTCCCTAGATCCATACGCCACCTAGTAGCTAAGCGAAGGACTATATGTTTGACGACACGTAAGAGCCTCATCTCAAACAATAGTTTCCAGATCTGTGTATACGACCGTGGTCCCACACTACCTACACGACTCAATAATTGCCTGAACTTCTAAAATTTTATTTTTTCTTAAACTTAAAATTCAAGGCAATCATTATACGAAACCGATTAACGATAATAAGCTAGTTAATAGGTGTACTTTTTCGTCGCTGTGTACCCCACATCTCAAAACGTGCATATGCTGCCTCGTATGCTGGACGTGAGTTCAGAGGAAGTAAATACGAACTATCTTCTTCTACAGTAGCTTCAACGTTGGATGAAATACTCACATTTTCATCGGAATCGTTCATTTTGCTAGCAAAAAGTTCCCCAACGCGATTGAAACATAAAAGACGCGAAACGATAATGCTTCATACAAAGATGAGTCTCTGCTTATTTATAGCAACGCATTAGGTATCGCGATAATACATTGGTATTCAATCTTAAAACAAAGTTCTTTTCCCATTTTAATAATTCACATTTTATCAATTTCTTGACGAAATTACAAAAAAACCTTGCATGCAACACGTTGCAAATTTTGCCGTTGGCGCACACGGCGTCCAATTCGCGCACGTCTAGTGCATTAAAGACAATCAATTTGCAACTTGTTACATAAGTAGCTATTTTTCACTGTTGACGGTTTCGCGCACGTTTTCAAGAGCAACCTTACTTATTAATTAACCGTTTAAAAATCTAGTACTTCGTGTTTCGAAATTCGTCAGAAAATGACAGTATTGTTTGACAGTTGTAGAAAAAACAGCAATTTTTTTTACAACTATACTGGAGCCAGTACTTACAACAGTTTTGATTGAAAAGGAAGTTATTTTGGTTAACAATATTGTTGGGACTTTCCACTAAATTTTTTACAATATAACCAGCAAAATATGCTGTTGAACACTCTTTCAATTTGATTATTTCCGCCCACGACTGGCTTCTGGTGGTTGATTTAGATGACAATAAGGCTAAAGACTCATCATCGCTTTCTTCAACATCTCGTTCAACATGAGAAGAAGTCTCTTGTCCAGCACTATCAGCGAACATATCATAAGCTTCATCCGGTTCACAGTTGGATTGGTGGCTTAATTAAATTTAATATGCTATTGGATTTGAAAAGCCTGTTGAAAATTCATACTGTGGGATTTTTGTTATATCCACTGCGCTGCCGATATTGTGAAAATAAATTTTCCAACGGGTCCTGGTTCAATCTTGCTGTCACACATGAGGAAGGTCTTCTGTTTTAATGTGATGATGAAGCATTTGAATCGCTTTAATTAGATTGAAGCATTCCACTGAAGCTGGGTGGTGTGGTGGTGCATTTTGAGTTGCCTTTGGATGAACATTTTTGTAAATTGGACATCACATACTTCAATTCTATTTTGCGGAGCTTGTACTACTGCAGTATTTTTATCGCATAATGGACGTTGCCAAGGCTTCGTGCTGTGTATAAATTTGGAATTCAAGGCATCAAACAATCGATCTATGACTTCTATGAAATCCGCAGTGTACCTTGCCTCCTATGGCAGTTGTTTACACTCGAATGCAGTGCATAGTGTAGCCGCGACACTATGATGAATCTCTTGCCTTTTCCTCTTCGGTGTTGCTGGGTCAGATTTAATCAGGTTTTCCGACGATGATTCCTTATGCCGTGCACAGTCTATTGTTATTTGGTCTATGTCAGTGACTAAAAAAGCATACACATATTTCTTGTGTGTTCAATCTCTTTATATTTAGTACTCCTTGGTTGTAGAACTTTTTCCGAACCCCCTTCAACCCTTTTACTTGTCTCGCATTTTTGTTTGTTTTTAAATTATTTTTTATTTTTTTTATAGTCTGGCAAGAAAAACTTTGGTGTTGATATTGAATCTGAAAACTCTGTTTGTGATGCTTTGGAAAATGGAATACTGGATTTATACGTAAGCAAGATGTGGGGATTGAAGTATGCTGTCGGTGCAGCGGCAACTATACTGCGAGTTGATCAAATTATAATGGCAAAAAGAGCAGGTGGTCCAAAACCACGTCAAGGTGGCGGCGATGAAGATGATTAGCTTAACTTATAACATGTATTTAATATCTGTATTGATTTTCTAATAATTTAATTGTATTGTTCCATAATTTTGATAACATGTCACTTGCTTTATTATAAAGTACTAAAACATAGTTTATTTATTAATATTTGATATTCATCGCATTGCATCCCATTCCATCTCGAATCTTTACCTCCAGTCATTAATTATTATATTTACAAATTACAAGGAACATAATAATGTGATGGGCCTGGCCGTCCAAATGTGCTAATTTCGAACAAGTTGCCATGGTGTTTTTTAATAACGACTGTTACCCTCACGTGCTCAAATGAATGCCCGTCTCCTGGGCATGCCTAAAATGAATTATCAAACATCCTCTTGCTCAGGTTTTAGTGCCGGTTAGTGTATTTCGGTTTGCCGTGTGTTTTGAAATAAATGCACGCCATCATAGAAAAACACCGCAATAAACAATGGTAAAAGTATCTAGGCTCCCTACCTAACTGTCGGGCAAGTTAGGTGAGCCGTTGCTGTCGCAAGTTCTCACATAACTGCTTCCACTAGCAACACTTTTAGCTTCCGCAAATGCTGTCAGTTGATACCATGGTGTATTATACACCATGGTTGATACCTAGCAACTGTTTTCGTGAACTTATCTCACGTTATGGCGCTTTTGTTGCCGCGGATGTAGTGTAGTTTTATGCAATAATGTGAAACACAAAAGAAGTGTTGGATGAGAGAATGGATTTCAAGAAGAGAAAAGTATGGTGCCTACCATAAATTAATTGATGAGCTTAGAATCGGAGAATAAATCCCAACAATTTAAAAATTTTATTTGTATGTCAGCGACCTTGAAGAACTGTTATTTCAAAATTAAAAAGCAGGATACTCAGTTACCTGCCACGATATAATAAATCTCGACCGTTTACTCGCCAAAATATCGAAACGAAATGGAAAGTTTGCAAGAACTTGGTGAGCTGCACTTTTGCCTGTTTAGACTGGCAAGAAAAGTGGCGAGAGATTTCTTCCGCGATTTCTGTCAAATGGACTCGCAATGCTATTTACACTTAAGACAGTAGTGTCAGACAGCAAATCGCGCGAGTTTTCTTTCTAGCCTAAAGGCGCCTTTAGCCTCCTCCCATTCTATGCCTTGATCTTGAAGTACTTCTTGCTACTTAGGTACATATCCCATGTTGTCTTTATGCTTCCCCTTTTCTTCCTATTTTGAATTCCGGTGTTCCATATGTGTTTCGCAAGCCGACTTCCATTCCTCCAAGGTGTCCAAATAAGCATTTTAATTTTTGTCTATCAAAGGTCTCTATCAGAGCATCCACTTCTTTTTTTATCTTCTTATTAGGAATTCCACCAACTCCCCTTACCCTTCGCAAGTACTTCATTTCTGTAGCGTGTAGTCTGGTTTTTTGTGATTCGTTTAGCACACAACTCTACCGTAGATCAATATTGGTCTGTAACGTTATTGCTGTAAGTAGATTTTATTAACTATTTCTAATTAACTGTTGCAGTACTTCCCGAAATAGCTTTATGCCTATGAATTCCTCGAGGAATTCATAGCCATGTACTTGAAATGTAGATAACAACAAAATTCATTTTGATAACATGGCATTAACATATACCTAGTACAACTACTTGTAATAGGAAGCAGGTAAGCTACATTATCCTCAATTATAACGTTTGCAGGTTGTCTATTATTTACCCTTTAGACAGTTGTACGCAAATTCAAATTTTTACGCGCTTGCTTTTGCGCAGTACCGAGGGAGTCAATGTGCAACACATCTGCAAGTGTGTCACTCCAGCACTCTCGCATCAATCAAGTGCACAGATTAAATATAATCAAAGATTAAACCCATCTATATAAGAGTATAAGATTAAACCACAGATTTAAAAACATAATGGCATTAACACCAAAATGTGAGGTTAATATAAATTCAAATTTCAAAATATTTTTACTTTTTTCCTAAAAGATAATTCATAACACCTTCATCTGAGACAACTAGATGATGAGATACATATTTCGCATTAATACAAAAGAAAAAAATATTACGTTACCTTTAAAAGTACACAAATAAAGAAATATCAAATAGTGTAGCAAACTATAGCATAGTATATTGTGTTATAGGTATTATGTAATAGGAACGTGCCAGGCAAAATAGTACATTATATATCAAGGTAGAGAAGTATAGTATTATTACTATTATTTATTATATTTACCGAAACGTACAGTGCATATGACAACGTCGCCTTTGTTGCTTGATTAGAACTAAAGTGGACTATTTGACGTTTGGGTTTGAGCTTATAGGTGGTGAGATGAAGATATTGCTCAGTCATTTCAAATTAAAGAATAATAATATTCTAGGCACTGATTAGCATGAATACTCAAAACAAGATGGACACGCCAAAGCGAGGGCGCAATACCACGCAAAACCAAAAAAGATGGCTTGTGGAGTTTGCTAAAAAAAACCGATATAATAGCAGGGAAATAAACTACGACTTTGACGTGCAAGAAAATGCAAGACTCATGGAAAGAAGTAGCTGATACATTTTGATAAATTGTGCTTCATTTAAGACTTCTATGGGGTTGCAAGGATTACGGTTTCTATTCGGGCGATAATTGCGTTCGGCATTCTTTAAATTGTCTATTACAAACACATTCACAGCTTCATCCATTGTTGTAAGTAGATAGCTCTCAAGTCTCAAGAGTCAAAACTTCAATACTAACCAATACATAACCCACAAAACGTCATTTGCGAGTGTTTGCGAACGACATTTACCCGCTCGCAGAAAAACGAACACAATTGAACGTATACGCAATATAAACGTAGATGGTCAAAAATTGCAAATATACGTTTCTTTACGAATACGTATTACCATTGAATAAAAACACTATAAGAAGCCTAACGCTTATGGAAGAAAGCGCGACAAATCTCACAAATCCCCTTGCACCCGCATTGGTTGTGACCACCGAACTCTCTTTGCGGTAAATAGGAGGAAAGCAAATTCTCATTCTTCTCAGTTCAAAAATCGACTCTATTGACAGTGTTCCCATTATATTCTCAGTTCAAACTCTGTCGCGCTTTATTTCCACGGGGTTAGGCTTCTTATAGTGTTTTTATTCAATGGTATTACGTATACGTTTTAAGGAAACGTACGGCCAAAAATCGACCCCCTGAGCACCAAGATTGCATCTCGAGGCGCTTGCGCCGAGGGGTGTAAGATGCGAAGGCAATAATAGATTTCTCTACCGTGGTATATATAACGGGTGTCCCAAAATTAACGCAAGATTTGAATTTGCCGCCATTTGTGCGGTGAAGTGTTGGCAACCCTGAAAAAAAAGCAATTTGACAGCTAACAGTATAGGGTTATTAAAAATGGAGCGTTACACGATAGAACAACGTGTCTTCAGTATTAAAGAATATTTCAAAAATAGTGAAAGCTTGGCGGCTGCAGTTCGAAAATTTCATACAAAATATGGTCGGAATAGTGTTTTAACTTCGTCAACTGTGAAGAGATTAATTGAAAAATTCATGGAGACTGGATCCGTTGGAGACGCCAAACACACTGGTCGTCCAAAAACAAGCCGTTCGAATGTGACCATATACCTATATGAATAAAAATCGCGCGCGACCGCTAACCTGCAATTGCAAGTGAATTGCCAAAATGAATCAGCTGTTTCTCAAACACGCATGCTTCTGGGCAAGTTTTATTGCGTATTGCATGGTCTTGCATGAAGAATTGCAGTATGTAAAGCGGCCTTTATAATATTATACGAGGTAGAAACATAAAGTTTAAAATGAACGTTGTTCCCTCAAATTTTTTACTTCGACACAAAAAATCTTGTGTATTACACCTTCATAAAAATGTTTTGTGAGTATTCGTATTGCAGGCCTCAGCTCCGCTTCGGCCTGCAAGCTTACTCACACTCGCAAACATCTATTTTCTGGACTTGATACAAGTAACTATTACTATACAAAACGTACAATAATTTAGCGTGTTCCCTTTCTCAAAGATCATACTACACTAGATAGACAGCGCTGTATAAATTTTAGACTCTCATAATTCGTCCCGCCAAATAAGTCGACTGCGTCCTCCAGCGGCTATGTTTTTATGAGAATAGTACAAACTACCTGGCGGGGTAAGAAGACGCGCGAAATGGCAAAGCAGTTATTTTTAGAATAAAGGGCTATTGTATGGGATATCGGTGTCATTCCTAAGCGCAACCTTGTGTGGGTGTTATAGATGTTTTTATCTGGTTACCTTACTGCAAAGATCATACTACACTAGATAGCCAGCGTATATGCAAGAGTTGTTTCGCGTTTAAGTAGTTCCATAAAAATATTTATAGGGGGCTTTCAAAGTTAAGAACGTAACTGATTCATCCGAAGCCGTCTTCGTACGAGTTCGAATCATATCATAAATACAAAGAGTGATTATTGTCTAAACACGAGACACATAAACATGACCTACTGAACACTCCTCACTATCATTGGGATAAAATTACATTTGTAAGTGGGCGTCATTCAAGACGAGGTAGATTCTATTACAGTCAGGACGTTACAATGAAAGAAATAATTTGAAAGTTGTACACAATATTCCCTTTGCTTTTTTTTAACCAGCGCTAACCAATACATTTTCCAGATTTTCGGATTAAATTAATAATTGCAAAAGCGTCTTTTTTCTTAGCATAATTTCTGAAAACTTTTTGTTTCACGTATCTACGATACTTTAGCAAATCTTCAAATATAATATCACAGATTTAAATATACTATAAATCTGTGATAATATGCACCTACTTATCCAGGTATATTTACATTGTAACCACACATTTATCTAATTTAGATTTGTTGTAATTAAGCATTTTATGATTGGAATAAATGAGATATCCCCCGCTTAGCCTCCTACATAATAATTAATAAAATTGTGTCCAGCTAAAGTGAGTCGAAACTAGAAGCGTCTGTGGTTAAAATTTCAAAGAAATATCTCCATAAATATGAAAGTTGGCATTGCGCAGTCTGCGCAAAATATGGAAAATACGAAACTGATCGAAATGGAGAAATATAGACCATAACGGCTATCAATTAGCGAAAACCCGAAGTCTCTAGGTGGCCGAGGGGCCGAGAT